TAACGTAGAGAGAGAGAGAGAGAGAGAGAGAGAGAGAGAGGGGAAAAACACGCGTAATCAACGGCCATCAAGATGATCCAACGAGACGATTCCAAGGCAAAGACCAAAGATTCTACGAAGGGGAATCGAACGAATCAATTCCGAGTTTAAACGGGAAGAGTTGAATGCCTCTTATCTCTGCCCAATTTTCCGTTCGATCGGAGATCTCGCGCTTCTGTGTCTGTTTCGCGTTGTCTGTCTCGTGGCGTATCTCGCTCGCTATCGCGTTTCGCAAAAAAGAAAAAGAGGAAAAATGGATACGAGATGGAAATGGTTGTCGGAAACGGGTAAAAAAGGGGTATCAGAATTAAAGAGAGATACGTTTGCCGTATCGTAACCTCGGTTAACCTTCGTTAATTTGTTAATCTTGTTGAAATAATTGAAATGAGATTAGAGCCGAAGCATGCATTCCTCGCGTCTTATTATCGGAACGATAATTAACCGTCCAAATTTGTTCGCGATAGAGAAAAGAAAAAAGAATACACACACACACAAACACACATATATATATATTGATTGGAAAGGAAGGGGGATCGAAGCTCGATATTCTCTAAGTAGAAGGCTGTTTTCCAGGTACGGTAATAATCGACGAGGATTTCCTAACGGAGTCCTGTCAAGAGAGCCAGTGCCATTGCGGTCATCGCGCGACGAATCACCACAATCATCATCACAACCATCATCATCCGAACCATCATCTCAACTACGTGGACAACTACGGCAGAAGCGAGACAAGCGTGGACGAGGCGATCGTCGGTCGAAATGCTTACAGAGACCCGACCTATCACGGGCCACCATTGGCCGCGATCCGAAACGACAATCCCCACTTCAAGATCCTCGACTTGGATCCGGACGGTATCCAGGTGATGGGCGAGATCGATCTTCAACACCTGCCCGACGCCGTGAACAAGGAGATCTTGAAGAACAGCCGAGAGATCATCTTCGAAGAGCCGGAAACGTCGAGGGAGGGGAGCCCGTTGCTGAAAAATTCGGCCGCGCGAAGAAACGCGGCGAAACACCTCCTCGACGAGGAGAGAAGATCTTTGAACAGCTCGAGGAGGAGCCTCTATCACAGGAATATACTGCGAGGATGCTCGGACGAGGAGAAGAGGTCGTTGGACGGGTCAAGAAGGAACTTGCACGGATCCAGGAAGTATCTGTTGATACCCATCGAGAGCAAAGAGGGTGGCAACAACTTGTCGAAGCGGCAGACAGAGGGGAGAAAGACGATCTGGCCGAGGGGGCAGTCGAGGGAGATTCTCGGGGAGGCGGAAACGAGGAGAAGGGTGAACTCGAACGACGACAGATTGATGATCGAGATGGAGAAATCCTCGAAATCTCCCTCCCTCTCCGATCCTAATTTGTCTCCATGCTCGAAGAATGGACAATCGCCTGTTCCACCGTTACAGATCTCGTCTCCTGGGCCGAACGCGTCGCCCGAGTCCGGCTTCTACGAGGCGTCATCAGCGCGGTGGAATCCCAGCCCGGAATACGCGAGGAAGCACCTCCGACTCGGCAACTGCGAGTCGGCGAACGCGAGGAACAGAAGGAGCTACGAGAACGCGCAGCTCCAGGACGTGAACGAGGTTCTTGTGGTGTCGAGGCCCAACAGCGACAACAGCGACAACTCGTTGGACAGCGAGGCGTCGGCCAAGAATCCGGGGAACGACGGTGGCCCTCGTAGATACGGCGATACGAAGAAACAGCAGCCGATCTCTTACACCAGCGTGTGATCAGGGAATTTCTCCCGGAGCATCGATTCCAAGTGTGATCGAGTGCGTTGTCGAATCGAAAACTTTTAGGGTTCGTTTTCCAAGATACGTGGAAGAGGTGATGGGCTTGCCTCCAACCCTCGAGCACCGGTTAATTGAAAAATTGGAAAGCTATTGGTTGTAGCAGCATACACTGCCCGGTTTTTCTTTGATTCTTCTCCAAGAAAGGAAGAGTTTATCACGAACGATTCCTCGAAATCGAGGGTTGGGGAAGTAGAGCAGGGAAAAGTGTGTGTTTCGTTCACAACGATACATTGCTCGTTTAAGACGCGTAGTAATTTTTCCAAACTATGCTGTAAGCGAATTTATATATATACGATATTCTGTACGAATAGTAAGTAAATTAAGTAGAGGATACGCACAATTATTTTCGCTATTTTACATCGATTGTGTAAATGACACGTTGAACCGCAGGTCGGTTACCGCGAAGCTTCCGTTAATAACGATGAGGATCGAAAAGGAAGAATCGATCGAATCGTTTCTATCTAATTTTTAGTGAAATTAATCCTTTAGAAGCGAATTGTAATTGACAATAATTTAAATGACAAGGCTTTCGAACAAGGCTTCGTTAGAATTACTATCTATTCTAATAATTATTCGGAATATTCGTAAAATTTGTACAAAATGACGACGAAAAAATTAAGTTTAAGCATTTAAAGTCGGCATAAAGTCGTTAGATTTAGGTATACACACACAAGTTCGCGTAAGAAAGAAAAAAGAATATATATATATATATATTTTTGCAATTTAAAAACGTACAAGATGTCTCTGACTGAAGTCATCGATAAATCGGCTATACGTCCATGCATCCTTGTAATAGATTAAATCGAATAAATAAACATTTATCAATTCCATTCTCCCGTTGAATCCCTCGTTGACGATCTACGATAAAATTAGAGAAGCCGAGAGAAACCAATTTCGAAAATTCTACGCGCCGTATGCACTCTGATTAGACGAAAAGTAGCCCGCCTGGTTACAAAGAAAGAGAGACAAGTGCCTTTACATTACTTTCTACCTCCGCGGAGGAGGAAGACAACGTCGAGCTTTCACCAACGTCGAATTATTTTAAATATAATAGCGTCGTTAATATTTATCGCTTCCATTCGTTTATTATTAAACAATAGCGCGTCGTATACGTACGATATAGAAAGGTTTTCAATAAAAGACACACTGTCGATCGTTAAAATAGATCGTTTCGAAAGTTTCGCAGCTACGTCTGATTCGATCGTGATATTACGTAGATTTGGCGGAGAAAACTCGGCCTCGAGCGTTCTCCGGGGACATGGATACCTGCCATCGTGACTTCTAGCGTAAATTGTGAAAATTTGTTATTTGTGTGTATAATAAAGACACTTTCGAAATCTAAATGGAAAATGTAATTCCACTTTCCTCCCTCTAGAGACAAACGTTCTTGGATACGATTCTTTCGATATTTGTAAATATCGTTCATTATATGAATTTCGTTGATAAATTTTCACACAGTGTATATAACTTGAACTTTTCCTTTTCGCCTCTTTGATCTTCGTTGGAATACACATAATATACATTCGCGAAATTATATTCGTTTGAAGAAACGATTCTACGGGTTAACGGTTAAAAATATTTATCAAGTTACAAACGAGTGGAGCAATTAAATTTCAACTCGAGATTCCTCGTCGTACTAACTTTTGCGTTCGTTTTGGCCTTAAGATATGTATATATATATATATATATATATATGCGCGCGCGTGTGTACTATTTTCTTATTTACAAAAATAGAATAGGATGAATTGTGAGTTTCGCATATGACGATCGAGTTCGATGTATCGAGAACAAGCGAGCGATATTTAAACGATAACCTTCGTCGGCGATTCTACCACGCGAATATTCCCATTTCGCGTGATTTCGTCGGTCAAAACGCGTTTCGATGCTCCACTTTGAACATTATGCCAACGGTACGACGTAGCCCACCTCCGTAATCTGGCAATTCGTCGTGACTCAATTTAAATGCGGCCAATTATTGCGAAATGCTGAGTTGGCGAACGGAACTAACTGCATAAACGGCCGAAGACGAGAACGACGTTAACAGTGTGAAAGTATCGACATTATGCCGTACACGAAGGGTAAGTGAAGAAGATTGAAAACTCGTTGTGATATACTCCACTTTTCCGTTCACCCCCCTTTTCGTTCCACTCCCCCAATTTTCTCAATTCACCGCGAGAAACGGGCGCCGGATCCGATCTCGAGACGATTTCGAACTTCATCGCGAGTTGAAAAGAAAAAACGATAATTGACATTGAATGGAAATTGTGCATTTGGTATTAACATTTCTTTGTCGATCGTGTGCACGATCATTGTCATGTTTTTTCTTTCTTTTTTTTTTTAATTTACACAATTTAGAAAAAGAAGTTTTCTTTCTCTTTTAACTTAAACACACGAAATTAAAAATTGAAATTCTTGTATCGCGCGAAAATATGCGTTATCGATGATGAAAGATATCTCTGTTCTCGTCGAATCGAGTTAATTAAAAGAAAAAAAACCTGAAAAAAATCTAACGAATCCGTGTAACGCTTCATATCGCCGAATTTATCGAAAAACTGTACAGATCCCTTTGGAGAAGACGTTTCACTTCTCTACCCGGACAATAATGGCGACAAGTTTGCCAGATTCACAGACCTACCGATCGAGACACCGATAATCAAAGGCGTAGTGAATCAACTACGAAAATGGCCAGCAGACCTATTCTTCGCGTTCCTGGCAGCTTGTCTGATCATAGGGAGCGTGGTGTTCTTGATCTTCGTCACGGTGGCCATTTGCGTGCCCACCGTTGTCGGTAACAGGTGTCCACGAAAACGACTTTCGTATGCAAAACGAAATGTTCTCGTTGAACGTCCTCGTTCGAGTCAAAATTCTTCTAACCGTTCGATTAAACGTCTTTCTTTTAGACTCGAAGATATATCAATCCTAGAAGTTGGAGCATCGTCCAACGCGTATTTTATCAAACTGGATAACCAGAACTGGTCTACGACCGATTATTGTTACATCGAGACCGCGGCTAGAAAGCATCCAGAGTTCAATGTATCGAAATTTCAAAATTCCTTTCTATCCGTAGAGCGAGAGGTATATAATTCTCGAATTTATATACCGTAGATATATCTGATAAATTTGATGAGGGACGAGACGACTAATAATAAGGAAAGCTCGAATCGTTCGAGCATCGATAGAACGAAGCTGGAATCCAGATCGAACGACTCGAATAATTATCCCCGTTCCCCGACACTGAGTGCAGAGGATAGGCTTAGGCAACGATTGGTAGTTGGAAACGGAAACATAAGGAACATCAACGTGTCGATCGAGAAATTCTTCAAAGGGTGAGTCGAAAAATACCTGTTACGATTTCATTCTCCCGAACATTTTATTTTCTTCCCAGTTCGAAGCTTGCGAAAGTTGCGAAAAAATTGGGCGACGAAGTACTGGAGATCGCTGCCAAGGCGCAATTGCTTTGGAGCGTTCCTGGCGTTGCGCTTAAACCGAATATGTTCTGCAGTTTAGACTACGTGAAAAGCTTCCTTTGCAAGTGAGAGGGAAATTCGAAATAACTAATCGCGACGATTGTTCGCCATATTCTCAATTCCCGTTTTTTTTTTTTCTCTCCATTTTTTTTCTCCTAGTAGCAACAAAGAAGAATGTTTGCCGGACAAACTAGCAACCATCGAGCCAGAAAACGATATACAATTGACCGGGGTACCGTGTCAAGCTTTCATGGGATTCGTTGTCCAAGAAATATCGAAAAATCATCACAACGGAAAAAATACGTTGAGAGAAGCTGTGGAAAAATATTGTCCAAGGTAGATTTCCAACGATTTTGAGGATCGATTAAAAATGCGATTAAAAGGAAATATTGGCTAATCGCATAATTAAAAAATAATATATATATATAATATCTCTCTATCTAGGTTATATTACTGTCCCGAAATTCGGATTCTCAACTCGAGACCAAAGTGTCCGACGGATGCTTTGAACTGTCCTACAGTTTATTCGAGTATACTGATGCATCTCACGTGACGACTGATATATGTATTTTATTACGAAACTGTACACACGTAGCTGATAAAATATAATTTTAAACGAAACGTTCTCGTCCACTTCGTTTTCTTTTTTTTTTTTCCTTTTCTTTTCTTTTCTTCTTCTCGCCTTTTCTTTTCTCTCAATCGTCGTCTTGATCGATCGAAAAGTTCATTTGAACGTTCTTTGCTCGTACAACCGAAGGACGCCCAGCCACATCCAAATTTCTCCGACTAAAATTGGTAAAATTGAAAAAAATTCGTTCATCAATAATATCAACATATAACGTATACATACTTGAGTTAAGAGAAAGTTGAGGGGCAAAATGAAGAGAGAGATCATATAGATATTTCGATGGTTGGTGAAAACGTACGTATTAGCAGAATCGTTCCTAACGTGTAAGACAAGGCTGTTACGAATGGGAAATGAGAGAAAAATAGCCAAATCGCGACAATGGCACCGCTGATGCTGCAAACCAGATCGGCCAGATAAAGCACTATAGATGGGATGCTCCAGCGTGGATTTTTCTGCAATAATTAACGATTGGATACAGATTTTTACCCGATTGGTTTCGTTATGTCTCGTATTTTGTCGTACCGAGATCAAAGAGTAAGCGAGCATGCCGATCGCCAGGAAGGAAACGATCGCGTAGGGCGTGGAATAACCTAAGCTCAACGTGACCACGGCCTTATGGGCGTAACCCTCGGTGATTTCGCCGCTTTCCAAGATACTGTACTCCGTTCGACCGTAACGAACGCTGTGATAACTCAAAAGCAACATACATACGGATAACAATAGAGCTTGAAAGATTTTCAATATCTCACTTTCGGAGCCCTTCGCGATATCCTCTTTCGCCTTCGCCTTCCCAGTCGAGAGTTCCTCTTGTTCCGTGATCTTGAATTTTCTCGTTGCAAATTCATCGCGATCATTCGTCTGGAAAACGACGAGCGACGATCCGATCGATTTAAACCGAGCGATCAGAACAATCTCGGACGAGGGGGATTACTTTTCCCGCGGGATGAGGAAGGAGGGGAGGGGAGGGGAGGGACTTACTTCCTCGCTCGTCGCCGATTCAATTTTATCGGGATACATGTTAACGGTGCGATAATTTTCGTTCGTTTTTTTCCGTTCCGATCTGGAGATGGAAAGAGACTACAGGCTAGACTCCTTGAAGTGAAACGCGCAATGTCCACAACGTTATTCAAATTGTTCATAGAGGAAAGATTATTGAATGGAAATTATAAGGTGTAAACTGTGTATAACCTTGGAAGGAGGAAAATTTTCGGCGGATATATTTTCGGGCGGGGAAAATTTGCCCGGGGAAATTAACTCGCGGCTATGAGAATTCAACGAGGGCCGATTGGAGCATGGCACGTCGTCGCAAACGTTCCGTATTTTCCAGTCTGAAAACGGTGCTCGCAAACAAAAATTCGGTGAGTATGCGAACGCGCGCACACACGCACACACACACACACACACACGTGTCCTCGCCCCGCGTGTTCAACGCCGTTAACGTTCGTCACCGTTACTCGAATGAGATAATATATGCTTATATGTATATATATATACACGTATGTATATATATATATATATATATATTATATGAATGATATCGAATCGTAAGGGAGCTTTCTCGAAACAATTACGAATTGTCGAAATTAAGACGTATCACGTGGTCTAAGCTTGCATGTACGTTTGGCGAGGAAATACGAGGCTTGATCATCGTCATCATCGTTCTCTTGTTGGTTAAATTCGAGGTAAAAATTTCGAGGGGGATAAACTATGAAATTTCGATGTAGGCGAAAGATAAACGAACCTAGCGGAGTATCCTTAGTTAGTAATTTAAGAATTTTATATATAAACGAGAGGGAGGCGATATTGGGAAATTGGATGATTGACTTGATGATTTTTCAGCAAATTGGACAACTGGCGTGCACACTATGCGACCATTACATCATGGGAAACTCGATCTACGTGATCATACTCGGCCTCATTGGGACCGTTAGTCGATCGTAATATTCCTTAATTGTTTCTGCATAATAGAACACCAGAGTTCGCGAATCCGTTTCATCTGTCAAACGATGAAGATGAGGATTCGAGAATTTGTCAAATTATTAATATCGCGATTCATCGAGAGAATTTTCGATCTCTCCTCAATCTTTGTTATATATAGTATAATAATATGGAGAGGAGAAATTTCTATTTGATAAAAATTTGTTTAATTCGATAGATGATTACAGCGTTCGATATCGTCAGAATAATTAATTGCAAGCTACCGATCAGATCACCCTCGCAAACGAGAAACAACGACACCGGTACGTTAATAAATATTCCGTTTCGGATTAGAGAGAGAGAGAGAGAGAGAGAGAGAGAGAGAGAGAGAGAGAGAGAGAGAGAGAGAAGAAGAA